TAAAGATTTACACCCTCGGAAACCCTGTACAGGGTCGCTATGGGTCGGAACCGACTCGACGGCACTTAACAACAACAACAACAACAATGCCTGTCAACAATCAAGGTTGTTGTTAAGTGCCATTGAGTTGGTTCTGACTCAGCAACCCTGTATAGAGTTCCAAGGACCAGCTGGTGGGGTGGAACTGCCATCTTTGCAGTTAGCAGTCCAGTGCTTATCCTTTAACATCACAGCAGGACTCTTAATACTAAGTTGTTAAGTGCCCTCAAGTCGGTTCTGATTCACAGCGATTCTCTAGGGTTTCCAAGGAGCAGCTGGTGAGTTTGAACCGCCAGCCTTGCTTTTGAAACTGACCTTGCAATCTAGTGTTTCATCCTACAGCACCACACCAGGACTCCAGGATTCTTTACATTGATTTTTTTATGTGTAATATATTATTGTGTAAATGCCATCAAGTTGATTCAGACTCCTAATAACCCTGTATAAGATTTCTAAGGTGTGGCTGGTGGGTTTGAACCACTAACCTTGCAGTTAACAGTCCAATGCTTATTCTGAAGCGCCATACCAGAACTCTGTGTAATATATTATTGTTGTTCTTAAATGCTGTTGAGTCAATTCCGATCCATAACGACCCTGTATAGGGTTTCCGAGGAGCAGCTGATGAGCTTGAACCACTGACCTTGCAATTCAAATGGCTTTGCAGTCTGGCGCATTAACCTATTGCACCACACCAGGACTCCCTGTGTAATAAGTTAGTGAGTGCATTTTACTGATGTGAACTTTGCAAGTAACAAGCTGTGGCAGTAAGTGGAGTTCTGATAGGTTTATAATTCTAATAGGTCTTTGAGTATTAAAAAAATTACCAATAGGATATTTTAATGTTATTGTACATTTACTAAAAGTATAGACTAGGAACACCCTTCTGTTGAATTAATTAAGATTAATTGCTTAATCAAGTAAAAGTCCTGTGAGTAGCTTGCCTCTCATTTGAAGTGTCACTATAAGAAGAAATCCAAGTGTGTTCAGAGGTCTTTATAACTCTTTGGAAAATTTTTGTTTTCAGTGTCTCTGACCTTGCTTGTTCAAAGTTGAGCACATAATTTTTCTTGTATTAAATTATCAATTTTTTGTGTACCTGCTAGGATAGGAAGAAATATAAAACAGGATCCCCACCCTCTGAATATATTTACCTCCCTAAGGGATCCTGGTGTAGTGCTGTGGATTAATGTACCAGACTGCAAAGCCGTTTGAATTGCAAGATTGGTGGTTCAAGCTTGCCATCTTCTCCTCTGAAACCATATATAGGGTTGCTATGGGTCAGAACTGACTCGACGGCACTTAACAATAACAACAGTAGCTATTAGGTTGAACTCCTGGGTGTGGTGCTAAAGGATCAGCACTGGACTGGAAACCACAATGTCAGCAACTCAGACTCACCATTTGCTCCTCAGAAACACTATACAGGGGCACTGTGAGTCAGAATCAACTCCGTGACACATAACCACCACCATATATATTAAATAATAGTATTATCATACCTTTAAGGAATTTTACCATTTGAGACAACAGTTTTGTGAATATGTGCATGACTTGGTATAGTTTCTTTCTACTAACAAAAGTTTGTTGTTATGTGCCATCAAGTCAGTTGCAACTCATAGCAACCTTGGATAAAGTTACCAACTTTACTGATAGCATTTCATTGCTTATCTGACAGTACCACACAGAACTCTACAGGTTAGTACTGATTATATTAAATGTCAAGTGGTAGGGATACTCTGTGATGTTACAATTCAGAGAAAGAAGAGATCATTGATCTAGAATAATTAGTAGCTAGATTGTGTTGTAGTAGTGATGCCAGGAGGAACAGTGCTCTCTACTCATAGAGACTTGGGGCTGAGGAAATCTCTTAGTTCCTTAAGTTTTAAACTCAATTGAACATGATCTGTTTCCTCCAGTCCTTCAGATGTGCTCATTTTGTTTCTCGTTTAGTTGCAGAATCCAAGGACCCCTTTTGTTCTTTCTCCATATTGCTTAATGGGAGGCATTATGGCCCCCAAAGACATAATGACAAATACTCATGCTAAATCCATCCTCAATTCAATGAACTCCCTCCGGAAGAGCAATACCCTCTGTGACGTGACATTGAGAGTAGAGCAAAAAGACTTTCCTGCCCACCGGATTGTGCTGGCTGCCTGCAGTGATTACTTTTGTGCTATGTTCACTAGTGAGGTAAGTGAGAAGTGAGCTCCTCATAAATGAGACTCACACATATAATTTTATAAGTTTTCTCTTGTTGCTGAATAAAATAGAAGTTTGCTATAATAGTGAATTTCTATAGTGTGGTGGTTAAATAAACAGGCTCTGGAAAAGATTTGTCACTTTCCCTGACTGTGCTTTAATTTCCTCATCTCTGTAAACTAGGGATAATGGTAATACACAAAGATTATATGAGAAATTACATGTGAAATGATTACAACAGTGCTTACAACCATATAGGAAAAAATCTTAAATTTTAACTGTTGGGTTGTACTTTTTTTTTTAGTTGTTTTCCTGATTTTTGTTCATTTAAAATGACTATCAGGGTGGTAAGAGACTAGGCAGAAAGAGTGACAAACTACTTGCGAATAGTCACTGAAAACCTTATGAATAGCAGAGAAACACTGTCAGATATAGTGCCAGAAAATGAGCCGCTCAAGTTGGAAGGCACTCAGGATGCGACTGGGGAAGAGCTGCCTCCTCAAAGTAGAGTTGACTGTGATGATGTGAATGGAGTAAATCCCGTGGGAGAAAAGCCCATGGGATCTTCATTTGCTGATGGGGCACAACTCAAAATGAAGAGAAACCGCTGTAAACATCCATCAAAAATCGGAACATGGAATGTATGAAGTATGAATCTTGGAAAATTGGAAGTTGTCAAAAATGAAACGGAACGCATAAACATTGATATCGTAGGCATTAGTGAGCTGAAATGGACTGGTATTGGCCATTTTGAATCTGACAACCACATGATTTACTATGCCAGGAATGACAAGTTGAAGAGGAATGGCGTTACATTCATCATCAAAAAGAACATATCCAGATCAGTCATGAGGTACAACGCTGTCTGTGAAAGGATAATATCCATGCACCTACAGGGAAGCCCAGTTAATACCACCATTATTCAAATTTACGCCCCAACCACTAAAGCCAGTGAGGATGAAATAGAAGAATTCTACCAACTTCAATCTGAAATCGATCAAATCTGCAATCAAGATGTATTGATCATTATTGGTGATTGGAATGCAAAGGTAGGGAGCAAAGAGGAAGGATCAGTAGTTGGAAAATATGGCCTTGGTAATAGAAATGATGCTAGAGAACGCATGATAAAATTCTGCAAAACCAATGATTTGTTCATTTCAAATACCTTCTTTAGACAGCATAAGAGAAGATACACATGGACCTCACCAGATGGAATACATAGAAATAAAATTGACTATATCTGTGGAAAGAGACTATGGAAAAGCTCCATATCATCAGTCAAAACAAGTCCAGGGGCAGACTGTGGAACAGACCATCAATTACTCATAAGCAAATTCAAACTGAAGCTGAAGAAAATGAAAACAAGTCCACAAGAGCCAAAATATGACCTTAAATATATGCCACCTGAATTTAGAGATCATCTGAAGAACAGATTTGATACATGAAACACTAAAGACCGAAGATAGGAGAGTTGTGGGATAACATCAAGAACATCATACGTGAAGAAAACAAAAGATCGTTGAGAAGACAAGAAAGAAGGAAATGGTCAAAATGGATGTCAGAAGAGACACTGAAACTTGCTCTCCAGTGTAGACCTGCTAAAGCAAATGGAAGAAATGAGGAGGTCCAAGAGCTGAACAGAAAATTTCAAAGATAAAGCCAAATAAATATTACAACAAAATGTGCAAAGATCTGGAATCAGAAAACCAAAAAAGGAAGAACACGCTCAGTGTTTCTCAAGCTGAGGGAACTGAAGAAAAAAATTCAAGCCTCGACTTTCGTTATTGAAAGACTCTGGGCAAATTATTGAATGATGCAGAAAGCATCAAGAGAAGATGGAAGGAATACACAGAGTCACTGTACCAAAAGGAAATGGTTA